TAAATCACAGTGATTCACACACTTTACTTACAGTGCCTACTGTTCGCTTAACTCAATTGTCTATCTCTTCAATCTACCTATATCTCTTCTGATCCCGCTGGTTTTTCTCGCCAGGCTTATATACTAAAAGAGGGCGTCTAGCAAACACTCGGACATTCGCGAGGTTCCTCGATAATTCATGATCCTTCGAGAAACTCCAGCGCGCATGCTCCCAGCGTCGCGTGACTTCCGCTGTCGTAACAGTATTATCATTTTTGTTTGCTCAAAAAGTACAAACAATATAAGCTATGAAACCAATGAAAAATGAAACTTAGTCTTGATTCCTTATATACGAAAAATCTTAAGATTTCACATTTATCCAATTAATCTGTTAAAAATTAGTGATAAAACTTGTATTTCTTTTTTACAGCATAACTCAAATGATGATTTGTGCCCCTTTTGCTAATGTGACCTTCAGATGTATGGCTGGCGGTGTTGACCATACTTCCTGCTGCCAACAGCGAGGCATGCCAGAAATTTGTTTAGAGTTTTGCAGTGGACGCGTGAAGAGTATTAACTTTCGCCATTTTATATGCCTCGACTATATGCACGTGTACAGTAACTGTTTATTGGACCACTATGGGGTATTACCATCTGCACCCCTGAACCTGACACTCGGTAATATAAATCACCAATGGGCCATCTTACGCTGGAGCCCACCAAGGTAACACTTTGATATTATAAGTTTTAGTTTGTGTAACAAGATATGATGTCACACTAAGTGATTTTATGTAGGACGTATCTAATAGCAATAACGCTCTTCTGTTTGTATGGCATATAAAAACAATTCATTGCAATGGTTCTTTCACTTTAAGCATTCCTTCCGTCATCTTGTGCTGAAAACATGTATAATTCTTGATCTTCATAGCTATATATAACGCTAAATCCAGAACAACGTTATATTTATGGTCAATTTTAAGAATAAAATATTAGATTATGTAACAGAAACTGAGAAAGAAAACTAATATAAAGATCAGAAGTTACAGAATAGAGAGTCACAGAAAAGTCAATAATGTTAGAAAACAAAGAAAGTCTTTAGCTCGTATTTTTGCGGACTTAGAGAAATAAAAAAATAATAATATATTTATATATATTCCATGAACAATATTCAACAAATAAGTTATTCCTATGAGATAACAAAACTGAGGTACAAGAAGAGTAAAATCACTATTAGAATATTTAACATTCATTGCAATGTATGTTCTCATAGATCTCCTACGCCTACAATGGTGGAAGTGTTTCGGAAAAATAGCATGGCTGCACCTAACTAATTAGTTTATCACTTTTCATCAGTAACACGGTGAGAACAGTTTACCAATCAACTAATGGTCATAAGATCATATAAAACACGAGCTCACGTTTGGAGATGGTACGGAAGGTTGATATAAGGTTTTATAAATGCGTTGGTAAAAAGGACTGTTGAAGTCATTGCCTTCATCATTAACCAAATGTAAAACATGTCCATTTAATTAACTATTTAAAAAGGATGAATTAAAAGGGGCAATATTTTGTAAAAAAAGGACGTAAATTTTCATTACTGTATCAGTAATTTTTCTGTTATTTTATGTAAAGACGTTTGCTTTACTACTGTTCATTCCATAACAATTTGCTTCATGTATTATAAGTTTACATTCGACTGCTTGTTTTCATATTGCTTCTCCAAGTTTGATGTTTTGAAATATTATTTTCGAGTTTTATAATAATGAAATGACTTTATTGCGTAATGTATGAGAGCGATAAAAATACGTTTGACCTAACCATTATCTTAGTTTCTACATTAAATTTATTGAATAATATGAAATAGTGTGTGTGTTGTAACGATTCTAAGCAAAAGTATCCATAAATGTTAAATATATATATATTTGATTTTTAAGTGTCAGAGCGTTTGAATTACTTATATTTGTCATTTCCAAGTGTATTTTTACACTCGAAGTTATAAACTTTATTTTACCTCTTTATATATGTATATGATTTGTAAGTAACTCTTTCTTGAACTAGGATTTGGTTTAATATCAATCGATATCAAAACAATATTTTGTTAATTATTTTCGTATTAGAAGGTACAAAATTCGGTGTTATTATTCCTTGTTAGCATAAAGGCACAGATTTGGTTATGCTTGCAAATACGTGTACAAAATGGTCCTCCATTCAAGCCATCATTAAATAATGTCAACCTCTTATACTGCCAAGAATTCTCCAAATTTTTCATCCTTTCTATAGCACCCTTTATGGAAATCCTTATTTGAGTTTACTTTTGTACTTTTTACTCCTTTCTCGTTTGCTTGTTTTCGTGATTTGTTGTAACTAGGAAAATGGATCATGTACAATGTCTATCATATCGAGTAATTGATCTACCATGATAGTATTAGCTCTTTTGAAGTATTCTAATATTGCAAAATCTACAAATATATATTTTAAGAGAACTTATCTCCATACGTTGCAATTCTAACTTGAAGTTATAACAGTTAACACGTAATAACTGTTGTTATGTTGATAGTTTTAAAGTTTTTTGTTTTTTTTGAGTTAGGATAGAAAATACTTTTTGTATTCTTATTTCAATCGAGCCACTATTATTCATAGCTCATAAAATTTTTAGAAGAATAAGAAAATACGTGTCTTTCGCAATGTCAACAATTTCTGGAAACAGACACAGTTAATTAATTCTTGGTGTTAATATTGACACTGATCCTTATCCACCTCACAAGTAGCTACGTCCATTATATAGTACAAAGATCTGTTAACGCCAGTAAACTGGATGACTCTCAGTTCTCTTTAAAACAGACAAGCTCACTTTGTTTATCTATGAAAAAATGTGAAGTTTTCCAACCAGTTTTTAGTACACGCAACAATGATTATTAATCTGTTTTTCAAAGTCAGTGATTACTTTTCGAAAATAAGCTACAATTATTTAAAGAATGAATAAAGGAATGTGGTAATCATTCCTTTAGGGGTACATCTTATTACTGACAATTTATAAACATCATTCTGAATGATTTCATATTATTTGTGAATAACTTTTAACACTATTCATTATCCAATTGCATGTACTTTGTTTATGTTAACTTATTTCATTTTATATGTTTAGGGTAAGATATATATAAAATTTAGTCCTGATGAATACATATGTATTTGTTCAGTTATCTAAGTCATACTGTGAAACAGTACATTCTCCATTGGCGAGAAGCAATAACAAATGGGTTCCCAGAGTACTATTTTCAAGTGAACGTCAAGTCACCATTCCTTTTTGATGGCTTGAAACCCAGCACAAGGTAACGAAAAAGTATTTTGATCTATAGCTTGAAAGTATCATGAATTTAGTTTAGCGTTACAGTAAATATAATTTTTCATATCTATATTAAAGGTATTTTCTTATGATGAAACTTTTTGTAAAATGTTTGCAATTTGAAATACTTCAATAATAGAGCGTTGTGTTTATTTTATCATCACAAAAAAGCATCAATAGTAACTAATTATTATATATATTTATATAAACTGCAATAAATAAATATCCTAATAAGGAGAGTTATGTACAGATTTTGTTTTTAATATCCAAAATAGTTTAAAATAGATAAAGCTTGTATTTTATTAGCTTTTATTCGGCTTATATATCAGCCGAGCGTTTTTACCATAGAATGTTAAATTACCTAACTCAATAAACACTTTATGGTCCTTTTTTGGTGACACAGAAAGAAGCTTTAAAATCGTTAGCACAGAATTAAAACCATCTTTCTCACATAAAATAAATAAGTAAAATAAAGAAAAGGCTATATTAAATACATATAGTTGAATACAAAACCTATGTGACGTGTTTATTGAACAATATGAAAATTCACTATCAACACAAGTATACTTTTAAAATTCTCGAAAAACATAACTCACATACGACTTAACTCCAAGATAATAAATTTTTCGTCTAATTTGTTTCCTTCATAGTTTCTAGCTTGTTCACATGGATTAAAGTGCTTCCTTGAAGAATATATAACATTAAAAATACATTATATTGGAGTTAAATATTTATTTTTTGAGTTCGTAATATTACTCACCATTACACAACTTTCTTCCAAAGTTCAACTTTTCTGGCATATTAATATTAACACAGTGTCACCTTATAATACAAAATAATTTTCTCAGCCTTTACACCACAAATAGCATTAAAGTTATCAAGGTAAATACCCCAGGTTGATTGTAACAGTGTCAATCTTTCAAATGAGGCGTTTACTGGTACCGAACGCTTTAATTTTTCCTCGCCGTAGAACAACATATCTGGAATATGTTTTGACTTCCATAATTTCTCTCGAAAGGAAAGGACGGGCCAAACATTTCAGATAGCTCTTAATCAGACCATCCCCAACAGAACTTACAGAACACCCCTTACAGGTTAACACTAACTAGCCTAGCAAAAGTGAATTAAGGAAGCTATATAGAAACAACAGAACAGCAACGCACTGGGTCGCTGTTATATACTTTGTTTGTTTGTTTTAGAGCAAAGCCACTTTGGGCTACCTACTGTGTCCACCCCGGATTTTAGTGTTGTAATTCCGTAAAGTTACCGCTGTCCCACCGGGTACTTTATAATATACAACTTGAGGCCATCAAAGCAGACCTGATAATATCCAATGAAATCTTGTATCAGTTATTTAACAGATCTGCGAGGAGGAAGAAGTACCGAATGGCTGGAAAGAGGACCAACTCATTAAGCTATCTAAGAAAGGTAATCTGTGAAAATGTAAAAACTACAGAGGAGTCATGCTAAAATCCATATCAGGGAAAGGTCTGATGAGAATAATCAGCTTAAATAAAGGTTGAATATGGCTGAGGGATCAACAGACTGGCTTCTGAAAGGACAAATCCTGTACAGATACATAGCTACACTACACATTATTGTGGAGCAGTAGCTGGAAGGGAAATCGCCCATTTACAGCATTTGACAGTCTAGACCGTAACACCCTGTAGAAGCTCACAGGACACTATGGCATACTAGAGAAGATCACTACCATTATCCAAAAGATGTACCAACATTCATCATGCAGAGTTTGCACAATGGCCACTTCACCCACTCCCTCACAGTAGACAAAGGATTTAGACAATGTTGCTTGCTGTCATTATTATCCTCCAGCAGTGGATTAGATAATGCAAAAACCACAGAAGGTCCAAACTTGGGGGTACAATGGACACTCTGTTCCCAACTGGACGATTTACACTTTGCTGGTGACATTATTGCTCTAATATCATACACACACCAACAAATGCAGTGTAAGTTTTCTCAGCCAGTATAGGGCTCACTGTTAGCAAGGATAAAGCCATGGTGTTGCACATCAACAACGCCAAAGATGAAAACATCATCTGAGAGAGAGAGAGAAGTGCTGGAGGTTTATCTGGGAAGTGTCATTGAAAAAAAATGGTGGGATAGACAAGGATATTCAAACAAGGGTAAGAAAGGCAAAGTCGGCATTTCTAACTCTAAGACCAATATAGAACTTCAAGGAGATATCACAAAAAAACCGAACTTCACACATTCAACAATAATGTTAAATCTGTACTTGTGTATGAGGATGAAACATGGAGAGTAACAAGGACAACAAATGACAAACTTTAAGTATTCACCAACAAGTGTCTAAGGACCATCCTAGGTATACACTGGCTAACCGCCATCAGAAATGAGAACCTGTGGGAAAGAACTGAACAGGAAAAGTTGTTGTACAAATAAAGAAAGTGGGATTTGATTGGACACATAATTAGGAACCCCAAGTTAATGTCATCAAGTATTTCTAACATGGAACTCTCAGGGTAAAAGAAACCGTATTAGGCCTAGAAACAGCTGGAGAAGGTCAGTAAAGGCAGAGCTGAGGGAAATAAAATACTTCTAGATAGAGCTGGAGAGATTGGTCTGGATGACCTATGCTCTCCAATGTATGAAACGTTTTAAGTTAAGCAAGTCATTGAGACTCTAAAAATTCATGCAAAACTTACTTCATAAATCAAAAACATGTCATTTTTCAAAGAGCAATCCTTATTGCCATTGTTCACAAACAAATTACTTTATAGATAACCATTGAAAAAGACACACTCCAATATATGAAATCATCCATAGATTTTTATAGCTTAAAATGTGGTACCACTAACAAAATAAAACAGAGAATGGGATTCTTACTCTTCCCATAATTAGCAAACAACACATCACTAAAGCCGTCATCTTAATGACATTAATTTTACAAATGTCAATAATACTCTCCAATATTTTACATCCAAATTAAAAAAAATATCAGTTAAATACAGATTCAGGAAACGTACTGAAGAGAATAATTTCGAAATCTGACAAGAAAGAAACACACACAAGTGAATAAATAAGCAAAATATTTATTCGCAATGGTTATGTATTATTACTATTTACCAGACTGGCCAGTATTTAGTTCACAGTTTGATGTGGAGAGCCTTCTTAAAATTATTGCACAGGACAATGAAAAGAAAAATTATTTTACATGTCTGCATGAAACAAAGATAAAAGGAAATCTAATTTACTGCACAAAATTCTGACAAAACAGAATACCTGAATTCAATGCTTTTTACTTCACTATTCGGAATAAAATTTATAGGGGAGGAAACCCTAAACTTATACCAACTTATACAAGTATTTGGAACAGCCCTTGAGATAGGCTCACCCCTCCCAAGGGGGATCAGATACAGGGCCAAAGTGACAAAAGTATTTGGCTGTCGGCATAAAAAAATCTTTATATGAGTAACACGATTAGTATATGTTTACAACCTATCAACATTATGTTAGCAAGAATGTCATAATACATTCAGAACACCTGCACAAAATTTAGGAAAAATTATAATTCATATATCTGAATGCATAAATGAAGTCAGATGACACTGCACCTGATGACTCTGAGGCAAGAGAAGATACGGCAAACCTGGCAACATAAATAGATTTCTATCAGGCGAACCATCATATGACACAAAACCTGTTAAACCAGTTTCCTGAGAACTTAACGTGACAAAAAGAACCAATTTTCATGATATAGTTGTCATAGTTCATGAAGGTTAGTGCCTATGGATATGTTAGTTAAGGGAAGTTTACTAATGTCAATAGTTAACATCCGCCATTGCATGGCACACTGCCAGAAGATGACATATTTGTGTCGACCCCACACAATAGGGAGGGATGATAATGTCATAGTTTCACTAAGTGGAACCAGAGGGTGCGTTGCTAGGGGCGCGCCATGACAGGGAGAAGTTGTCATACCGACATAAGGTGTGTTGCTAAGGCCACAAAGTGGCATCAGCAGGTGTGCAGATAGTTCACGAGTGAACCACCAGAGGTTGACAATGTGTCATAAAAGTCTTAAATTGATAATTTAATCTAATTTGCATAATGTTGTATTTAAAGTTTCGTTTTATACGTAAAACAATCTACTATTTTATTCTATCAACTTTGTATTTTTCGCTTACATATGTTTTACAAAGGCAGGCAGTGTTTCTATAAATGGATAGTGTTATTATAGGCAGATGATGCTACTAAACCAATGTTAGCATAGTTCTTAGGATCATTGACCAAACTAGTATTTTACCTTACTTGTCTGTCATACTTATATAATTATCTGTCACTTTATGTATAAAATATTTCACTAATTCATTAGTTATAAATTTTTTGCTTTTATATTTAACATGCATGATATACTTTTTGCTGTTTCTAGAGCTGGATAATGCTACTATCACAGTTAACATACTGATCATAGTTGTCACTTTTATATCTAATCATATGTTTTGCAATTTCTGAAGAGGACGGATTTTTCGTGACATCTCTAAATATCACGAATGTTTTACTAGTTTTATAGTTTAAATATGCTATTCTTCTACCAATATAACTATGATTTTTTATTGTTCTTGACAAAATATTTCATTTTACACATTTTACTTTATAGTTTTCATTTCCATAGATTTTACAAATGTGAAAGTTGTATCTAGGCATATAGTGTTACCATAGACGGATTGTGTTACTAAGGTTCTATAGGTAGATGGTCTTACTAGGCGTATTGTGTGTATGTGTGTGTCTTAAAAAAGCGGATAATGTTAATATACTTCTGTAAGGCTGCATACATATTTCAACTTGTCTCAAGTTATGTTTATAGTTGTCATTTATATATTACATATGTTTTACAAAAGCAGGTGGTGTTACTATATGGATTGTGTTACAAAGGTTATATAGGTGGATGGTTTTACTATGTGTATTACATGAGTCTTACAAAGGCGGACACTGTTAATATAGTCCCTTAGGGCTGCATACAGATTCCCGTTTTTCTCATCTTAGTTTATAGTTTTCACTTACATATGTTTCACTAGGTGGATGGTCTTAATAAGGTCCTATATATGTATTATATTACTAAGTGTAAAATTGTTTTTCAAAAGTGTGGAGATTTAAGTATAAGTCCTAAGCAAAACCAATATTTTAACGAAACAACTATTATAGCAAATTATGAACACATATTATCTAATATTTAAATTATTATCCATCTACGAAACTCTTCACTAACTGATTAGTTTTCGCTTCTGTATCTAATCATACTTTTCGCATTTCCTAATGGTTTTCATTTCTATAACTAACATCTAATCGTCCTGAGAAGGATGCTTATTTTCATGTTTAGCTTTGTAAGTCATCAGAGTTTATCGATTTATTTAAAAAATATTATCCTTACCTTTTCTGTGGCGTCTAGAGCTTGTTTCTTGCATATAGTCTATATGCTTGCTTGGTCTTTTTCAGCCTATTACTGGCATGAGTCACATGCTCAATATTCAAGACCACTGACTGGCTTGATAAACTATAATTGTTAGGAAATACAAAGATCATCATGTGGCCAGTCCCCTGTTAAACCTTGTCTGGAAACTGAAAATTGTGTTACCCCCCCCCCCCCCCACACACACACACACGTGCAAGTATATATATATATTTGTTGATAAATCAGAAATTCTACTTGTATATCTTTTAAAACAGCTCATGTACACAATAACAAACTTATTAGGTAATACAAATAAATTCTTGTATTTCAAAATATTTTATGCTCACTAATCAGACATAAAGCAATTGGTCAAAATTTCAGGCAGTGTCAGACAGAAAGTATAGCTTACAATATTTTTCAGAATGAAGATAATTTGACTATGATTATTTTAATTCTACTTTTAATATTTATGATATCCACTTAGACTTAAAAACTACATCAACATATGAAATGTATGAGTTTTACGATTTCATTATACAATACAACAAATTATATTTGAATGTTCTCGAATAGTAAGAGAGTTAGTTGTTTCTGTGTAGTGCTGATAAGCTCAGTCTACAACAAACAGTCTAAAGTTTAGTCAAATCTGGGTCACTTTTCAAATATAAATACCCTGCCCCTTTCATCACTAATAATCAAACTGATGCAGTTCTACTACATGGAAAAAAGAATGCTGAACCAACTTTTAAACGTAAGTATATCACAACATATACTTCTTTGGTTATAATTATATCTAATTTCTGTGTTTGTTTGAAATAGTCATGATTGTTTTCAGTCATATTTATTATATTAATAAATAACGTTGCCATCTCTTACTAATTATATACTATATCATATTTTAGTCTATTGGAAAGAAATGAAATGCTGCTGTCATTAATGAAATGGTGAAAAATAACAAATCTAGTAGTCAAGAAGAACTAGTAAAACAAGAAAACGACATTTAGGTTCCTCTGCTATTATACAACATGAAGAAGCATCTGATTCATCTCTTGCCTATCCTATTGGGAGCAACTGTTACATCACTCTATCTACTTATGTCAATAACTTTTATTGACCTTTGTTCATTAGTCACATGTATGTCAACAACCATTATTTGGGAAATGATCAGTTCTCTATAACAAGAGCTAATATATTTCATCTGATGTATACCAACACAGAACACTGAGTGTGGCTTTTGTACGATATAAAAGATGAAGAATATGTTAAATATTTTGTTACATTACTCTATTATTGGAACAATGAGTACCATGAATATGAAAGTTGACATTTTTCAATTCGGTGATATACTTTCAAGTTTTGTGAGTTCACAACAAAAGGTATGATGTTCAAGAAGAGCATATCAGTTCCTATAAATTCACATAGAAACCACGTCAATGTGATCAGATTTATCTCTAGAGACCATCATTCAAAGACCATGCCTATTATAATTATAATTATTCCTACCATATAACATAATAATATCATCAACAAAAAAAAAAAATCAGGGATCCATGTTTGATGGCAGCCTCCAGGTCTCATGCCTAGACTGTCAGTGAGTGTGGTAAAGGATCTGGAAATGTAGACTAGCTCCGTAATGAACAGACTTTCCCTTATATATTATACAGAGTCATAAAAAAAAACTTATGTTAAATATACACTAAAAGTGTGATAACATTCTTAAGTTACGGGAATGTCTGAACACACAGCAAGACTGATAATATTTCTTTAAAAATCTTTCTTTACAGACATTTTACTACAGGTTTCCAACGAAAATAATATGGACTGTCGCACCTTGTGATGTATGCCGTTACAAACGAGAGCTTTCACCTAGTACCTGAACTGACTATGTCAGTTGGAAATATAACAAAGTCTTGGTCAAAACACTATATCACTCATTAATATTACTTCATTTGTTATAGCATTCAACTTTAGGAGTTACATTTCCAGCCAATCCACGAAAACTATAAAGTTGATAAGAATAAAACAGTAGATTGTTTTAAATATAAAACGAAACTGTAAACTCAACGTCATGCAAGTTAGATTAAATCGTTAATTTAAGACTTTGTACTATAAAGTTGACGGACACGCTGTCACCGTCTAATGGTTCACGCACGTACTATATATGCGCCCTCTGGTGCAACTTCGTGACCTTGGCAACACACTCTCTTGCGGTATGACAACTTTCCTCTGTCGTGACGCGCCTAGCAATGCACTCTCTGGTTCCACTTCATGGAACTATGATGTCATGTCCCTCCCTATTGCCTGGAGATGAGATCATCATCCTTTGCCTACACAAATATTATCCTTAGTAACTTTTTCTGCTATTGTAAAATATATTTAATATTTTACCTATAAAACGAAACTATAAACACAAGTTTATGAAGTTAGATTAGATTATCAGTTTTTAGACTTTGTCACTATAATGTAATGTCTAGGTGCTCATCATATTAATCCGCTCTATGGTGCCACTTCTTGGCTCTGGCAGCAGACAACTTCCGCCTGTCATAGCACCCCTAGCAACGCGCCCCTGGTTTCACTTCGTGGAACTATGGTGTGATCGTCTCTGGTACATGGAACTATATCCTGGGGTCAATACACGTGTGTCGTCCTCTGGCGGCATGCTATGCAACGGCGGGGGTAACTACTAATGCCTAATCACTTCTAATTATTATAATAATAAACAAGCTTTATCTTTTGTTATGTTTTATATTGTGATCTCCAGGTCTTACGATCAAGACCAAGTAGAGTCAATAGTGCCAGCTTAACTAACCAGTAAAATTCCACTTAAATTCCCTTGACTACATGAAAAGTAAGCATTGCATCAACATTATTTTTAAAATCATCTGCTCTGCAGTTTAGTAAATTAACATTCAGTACGGGTGAAGTTTATGAAAGCAGGGCTTTGCTGTGCTACTTATATTAAATATATATTTGTAAAAGACAACGTAATTGATATATTTATAGAGAAAAGTTAACCTGAAAGGCGTTATTAATAATTGGTTACTTACATAATATTGTTTGGCTTACTGTTAAATCCAGCAGTTCCATTAATGAATAGTATTTAATTGAACATTAGAAAAAGTTTTGAGAACAAAATATATTTATGAATTTCAAAAGTATTTATATATTGAACGAGGTTTCATAATGTCTCCAGGTACGAAGTTTATTTGGTAGCAGAAAATTCTTATGGAGCAAGTGAGTCTTCTTCTCGCATTTTGTTTACAACTTCTTCTGCACGCCAGCCAATAGAGATACAGAAAAACCAAGAAACGGGGTATAACGAAACAGATTGTTGTGTTCGTAGTAGGGTAAAACCAGCATGTATGCCATTGTGTACTTACAAGGTAAATGTTTAACAACACTGTTGTTTCTATGAAATATTGTGCTGTCATTTCTAAGAAAAAAATCATTACATTTTTGGTTATATTGTTTTTAGCTTACTATAGTGGTATAAATGTAATAAAAACTGATCTGCTTTTCCAATATATCAAATAAATGAGTGGACTGAACGTAACATATTAATCTTGTGGAGGAAGTAAGTGTAGAAAAAAAATTCTATAATCTATACTTGATATACTGTACGTTTTTAATACGCACTAAAATTATTACCGTATTTTTCGGAATATAAGACGCACCCTTATTTTGAAGACAAAGTTTTGGGGGAAAAAAAGCTATAGTCGCACT